GGCTTGAAGCCAAGCGACCACCTAGCAGGGAAGCAACCAAGCCCACATGGAAGCAGCACACCAGTCTGTGTGATCGTGAGGTATCGATGACAATAGCTATCAGAAGTTCAGAAAACAAGCGATCAAATTGACGTAAAGGAGCGTGGACAAAGTGGATACCGTTATAACATTCCAGGAGCAAATCTGGTGAGAAATTCACAAAACTCACTGCCATTGAGTCAATTCTGACTCATAGCGGCCGTATAAGGACAGAGTAGAAGAATTCACCAGCAAGTCCAAATTCACCTGCTGTAGTTGGGTGTCACGGGTCCAAACTGACTTGAACCCAGCTCTCTGGCTCCATCCCTTGGTATTCTCGTTGTTCCGCGCCATCAAGTCCGTTCTAATAACAGCCTGATGTACCATAGAATGAAACATTGCCTGGCCTGGCGAAGGCCTCACAGTGATCGCTAGGATTGAGCCGATTGTTGTAGCCATTGTGCCATTGGGTCTCATCAAGGGCCTTGCTCTTTTTCACTTGGCCTCTACTTTGCCTTGTATGATATCTGTCTCTAAGGCCTAGTCCCTACTGATTACATCCCCCACGTATTTGAGGGCAAAGTCTCACCATACTTTCATCTACAGAACACTCTGGCTGTACAAGACATAGCCTTCACGTATTGTGCAAATAAAGCTTCTACCAATGTTTGGAGTAATGAGAAGGACGCTAACTTTGGCAATGATCTTCGGATTAACTACAAACTGACGAGAATAGTTTCCTGGCATACTGCGATTTACTCATCCATTCCAAATATTTACTAATTATTTTATATGCGTTGGGCACTGTTTTAGGTATTAGAGATGGAACCATTAACAAAGCAAATCAGTGGGCTCTGATCCAGAGCACCAACTCAACTATGATATTACTGCTCAAGAGGACACACTAGCTGGGACCATACCTGTCACATTGTTGGGGTTTTCCGTAGCCAGTCGGGCTCTCAGTCAATGCTCCTAGAGGAAAACCTGCCAGAATCCTGCATAGGTCTATGAATTCAATTTATGGGCTTGGAACAGTAGGGTCAAGAGACTGAAACCCAACAAATTTAAAATTGAAAAAAAAAAGAACAAGAGAATAAAACCAGGATCTTCAGAGTCTCAAATTTATGTACCATACATGCCAAGTTCACGTACCATACATGCCAAGTTCATGTACCATACATGCCCAAATATAAGGCAAAAATGCTTTCCAAAAGTTATCCTATTAAGAAGAGAATCTTTTACAACAAGCCCCTAAAATGAAGAAATTGAAGAATTTTTTTAACCAAGTTCTGCAGTCTGACATTGACCAAACATCAATAACCTGTTCATTGGTAATAGAAATATTTTTATAACAACATAAATTATTACTGTACGTGTATGCTCACTGTATGGCATACACGAGAACCAAATGGACATGATCTGTGGAGAGAGTTGATGGAGAAGTTCACGATCATCAGTCAGCTAGGGGTTGACTGGAGTACAGACACACTTGCTCAAATCTGAGCTCAAGTTGAAGCTGAAGAAAACTAAAAACACTTCTATAAGAGCCGAAGTACAACCTTGAAAACATCCCACCTGAATTTAGAGACCACCTCAAGGGCAGAGCTGATGCACTGAACACTAATGATCTAAGACCAGACAAGCTGTGGGGTGATATCAAGAGCATCGTACATGAAGAAAGCAGAAGATCACGGAAAAGGCAGGAAAGATCTAAATGGATGAGAAGAGACTCTTGAACTTGTTTTGAACATAGCATAGCTAAAGCTAAAAGAATAAGTGAAAAAAAGCAAACAAACCACATTGAACAGATCTCAAAGGACAACTGGGGAAGACAAAATAAAGCACTATAATTAAACGGATAAAGACCTGGAGTTAGAAAACCGTAGAACACAGTAAGCATTTCTTAAGGTGGAAGAACTGGAAAAAAATATTCAAGCCTTGAGTTGCAACATTAAAGGACTCTCTGGGCACAAGAGTCACTGGACCAAGAAAATGGGTCGGTGTTCAACCACTTCAGCAGGAAGCATAGGATGAAGAACTAGTGGTGGGGACGGAATAAGTCTCAGCGGCACTGAAGGCACTGGCGACCAAGTCCAAGAATACCACAGGAGATGTTTCCACAAGCGGATGAAACATCGGAAATGCTCCTTCATCTACACCAAGAAATTTCAAAGGCAGCTGCCCCGCCAAGCAACTGGGAGAGACCCGTAGCTGTGCTCATTCCAAAGAGAAGGTGCAGTAGTCCGATGGGATACGGCAAGTACTGAACGACATCGTTCATATCACACGAAGTAAAGGTTTGCTGACAAAAATTTAAAAAACAAACTAACAGTTGCAGCACATCGAGAGGGAACTGCCAAAAATTCGAGCTGGCTTCCGAAGAGGACTCGGAACCAGGATGTGGTTGCTGACATCAGATGGCTCTTGGCTGAAAGCAAGACTACCAGAAAGGTGTTTACCTGTGTTTTGTTGACAGTGCAAAGGCACTCATCGGTGGGGATCATAACCAACTATAGACGACATTGCGAAGAATGAGGATTTCAAAATGCTTAAGTGTACTCGTGCAGAACCTGCACACAGACCAAGAGAAATCCATCTGAACAGAACAAGGTGTAAGTATTCCTCCTTTCACCCAACTGATTTAATCTGTGGGCTAAGCAAACACTCCCAGAACACTGCGTCACGATCAGAGAAATGGGGGGGAAATGAGGAGCTGATATCAGGGCTTAAGTGGAGAGCAAATGTTTTGAGAATGATGAGGGCAACGAATGTACAAATGTGCCTGATACAATCGATGGATGTATGGATTGTGATGAGAATTGTATGAGCCCCCGATAAAATGATTTTAAAAAAAAGATCAGAGAAATGCTCATTAACAACCTGCCGTATGCCAATGACACAACCTTGCTTGCTGAAAGTAAAGAAGACTTTAAGCACTGGCTGATGAAGATTGTACCACCTTCAGCATGGGTTATAATATAAAGAAAATAAAAATCTTCACTACCGGCTCAATAAGCAGTATCAAGGTGAATGGAGAAACTAACAACACGACCAAGGATTTCATTGTACCTGGATTCACAGTCAACACTCATGGAAAAGCAGTCAGGAAGTCAAACAATGCATCGCATTGGGCAAATCTGCAGCAAAAGGCCTCCTGAAAGTGTTAAAAAGAAGGAAAGGCATCGCCTTCAGGACTGAGATATACCCAACACTCTCCAAAAAGCAGCCAAACAAAAGTGGAGTTTTGCCATGGAGTCAACGGTGACTCGTAGTGACCCCGTCGGACAGTGTAATAGCCACCATGTGGGTTTCCACGTGGGCTAGTGCTTTAGGGGAGTAGAAAGCCCCATCTTTCTCCCATGGAGCAGCTGGGGGCTTTGAGTGGCTGACCTTGCAGACTTCAGCCCAACATGTGACCAGTAGGCCACCAAGGCTCTGTGCCTAACACAGAGTTGCCTCATGCATGCAAAAGCTGGACAATGAACAAGGAGAATTGATGCTTTGGGACGCTAAAATTGAGGGAAATCTGGACTATCGCACAGACGGCCAGAAGGATGAACCGACCTGTTAAGAGGGAGGAAGGGAGGCAAGAAAGAAAGAAAGAAAGGAGAAGAGCAGGACTTGGTCTCACCGACTGTGGCCACGTGGTCAAGAGGGAGCAGTCCCTGAAGAAAGACACCCGGCCCGATGAAGTCGAGGGTCAGTGAGAAAGACAAAGCCCCTCCATGAGATGGACTGACAGAGTGCCCACAATCATGGGTTCGAATCCGGCAGCGATTGCCTGGGCCCTGTTTCCTTCTGCTGTAGCAGGGTCACGAGGAGCCACAACTGGCTCGAGGGCATCCAGCAACGAGGAGGACGGAATGTGTGGCACGCTACAGGGGAGTCATGATAAAGGAAGGAAGAGTAATCATCTCAACCAATGCTGGTTTCTCTTGTGTTTCTACAGCTAGCTAAAGGAACTGGTAAAGAGAGAGGGAAAGGAAGGGGTTAGATAGTTACCGTATATACTCTAGTATAAGCCAACCTGAAGTTTTCAAACTAAAATTTTGAAAATTTTACTTTGAAAATTTTGGGTCAGCTTATACGCGAGTATATCGGTATGTAGCCATTGACCTCAAAATTCCAAGTGTCAGATGTTATTATAAATAAATTGTATAAATAAATGAGTAATGAGCAAAATGATGACGCTAAGGAGGGTGCATAAAATGCAAGATAGATAAAAAGAAAAAAAGAGGCTAGTTTAATGTTATGCTAATAGATTTTTCTAGTTTGGGATAAGTCACCAGCGATACCATACACTTAAAAAGCAATAAAAATGATATGAAATTAAAAAGTGGTCCAAATGATGACAAAGTTTGAATCAAATCAAATGAATACATTAACTAGCATAGAGGTCATTTAACCATTTCATAACTGCTCCTGGACATTGATTATCCACACACTAGCTGTCCGATTGTTTCAGCTCTTGTAGCCCAACCCACTGCCATCTAGTCCAGCGGACCCTGGCACACAGGGTTTCAGAGAGTATAAAACTCTATGGGAGCAGATGGCGCCATCCTTCTCCTGTGGCTGGCCTTGAACCATAGGCCTTGTGGATAACAAGTCACAGCACCGATGGGCAAATCAGAAGTCATTTTTAACCAGAGTTGCATTGTACCTGATACACACACATACACACTCGCCAACTGAATTGGGCAATGTGGTTAGGATGTCCCAATTAAAGAGTGAAAGGGGGACTCATGTCACATTTATTGAGCTCCTGCACTATGCAAGACCCTGTGTTAACCAAGCATGCAAAGAAAACACTTCATTTCCACTCTGGGACTGTTAGATGCATGGTTAGGGGCTTGCCCACAGTCACCGTGTCGTCCAAGGCAAGCCGAGAAGCCAAGCGGCCCGAGCCTGTGTTCCTTCCACACTTGTACAGTCAGCTTCACTTGGGGACCGGGCGCTGGAGTGGACGGCGTGTCTCTACCTACCTGAGGGTGGCCGCTTCGTTTGGTCAGCTTCACCCGAGTGTGGTCCAGGCAGGGCACGTCGCCATACCGATTCTTCTCGAGGTTTCCGGGGGACCTGAAGGAAAGGGAAGAGACAAGCTAGAGTCCAGCAGAAGCGGGGCCGTGTGTACGTGTTCCCACCAAGGCTGGCAGGGCCAAGGTGGGTGTTGATCGTCTGTGGGGTGCAGGCATGGGAGCTCCTCCCTCTCCAGTCTGTCTACTTCCATGCCAGTTCCATAACAGTAACAAGTATGTATTACTTTTATGATCAGAGAAAATAAGGAGACTTCCTGTCCAGAGGGGAAGTAGGGGTACCCTCCCCTCATGAAGCCCTCCCCACACTAAAAAACAAATCAAAACCGCCAATAAAAATCCCTACTACTGATTTCTCAAAAGGCATTCGAGAGAAAACACTTAAGCTCCAGTTTAAATAGGTGAGGGGACAAGTGTTTTATACTCCACTCCATCCAGTAGCCGCGTGACAATGGCAATAAAGGAACTAATCTGTGTAAACCTCAAAAGGACAAATAAATTGAGAGCAGAGGCATTTTCTCAAAAGATTTCCACCCATTCT